TTTTACAAGAGGTACTGCTATGCTCAAATGCCTGATCCACTGGAGCTCAGCAGACACGTCTGACTGTGCTGCTAACAAGAAATAGGTGGGATAATATGTCTCTATTGCACTATGCTTGCCTTGGCTTTGTGGGCATTAGTCTGAGGTTTGAGTTCTGTGTCATTTTGCTCATGCACCTGGATCCTGTGTTTCCTGTATTCCTGCTGGATATCCTGCTCCACAGGTGAAGAATTCAAGGGGAATGGATTGCTCATAATGCTGACTGTAGTAGCAACTGCTCTGCTATGCATTTATCAGTGATCACTAGAAGGAGGACTTAAACCCTGGTCTTCCACATTCCTGGGGCAGCATCCACCAAATTCATCTCTGGTTTCTTTGCACTTATGAACAAAGTCATTCAGACAAAGAGCCCAGGGTCAGGGCAGGTAGCTGGACAGCCCAGCACCAGGACTTAGATTTCACTCCCCCTCCATCTGAATCAGAGAGTCCAAAACCTGATAAATTCTCCAGATGTTGGAGAATTTACACTATTGATTACTTTCAGTCAGTCTGCCTTTCTTTCCGCAGCCTCAGATTTTAAAAGAAAATGCTCCATTCAAAAGCAGAGAGGGCATTTCTTCAAGACTTTTAAATTTTTTAAAATTCAATTATGGAATACAATTATGGAGGGAGACTTTTTCCATTTTCCATTAGACTTGAACACGTATTTAGTTTGACTTTTAAGCTAAACAGAAATACATTTTAAGTAAAGCACAGTTCTCTATTAACACTAGTTTTATTGTGATAACATGCAAATCCCCAACACTTTGCAGCCAAATTAAATTTCACTGAAATTTAACAAAAGATTTACAGAAGCTACCAGAAAGTAAAGAATCAGTCCCTGTATCTTAATCTATTGCATAGCACTAAATGAAGGAAGGAAATGGTACTCTTCAGCAGGCTTGCAGCACAGTTTAAGCACTGCGCTCAACTGGAACAGCAGGTCTCAGTTCACCAAGGTATTTAATTGACTCTTCATCTTTAGTACTAAGCAGTTTACTTCATTTCTAGCGGGCTGATTATGTATTTAAAGTTGCTTTAGAAAGAGTAGCATGGTAGCACTGTGCCAGGTCCATCTTTTCCATCAACACTAGAGGCAAGGCAGTCAGACACAGCAACATTTATTTTCAACTCACTAGAAAATACACCATCAATAATGTCTCTGTAAATTGCAAGAATATCTTTCAGTCACATCATAAATTACATGTCAGCCTTTAGAAACAACTACACAGATCACAGCTTAAAGTACCTGGTGCTGATACATATACATCTTTAAAATCACATTACACAGCTCTACCTTTGATCGTGATCACAAAGGGAACTGGTGAACCCATCATTTACCTCAAGTAGCTGACTGAGAAGCTAACCAAGAAGGAAATACTTTATGTGCTCATGGTTACTAAATGGTGTTAGTAAGTGTCAGAAGAGCTGTATAACTTTCTCTTTTTATCTAATGAAACAAAAGGGAAATAAAGGATGTAAAAAATAAGTTTTAACTTTATAAGAAGAGACAGTAACTTCCTGAAGATCAAAATATATACTTGGAACATATGTCGTTCCCTGATGCAAATGTAAGAAAAAAATTATATAGTGTATTACAAAGACACGCCAGTACTGTGATCAACAAGTGCTCTCAGATGAAGTGGAAGTATCAATTATTTTACCAGAATGACAGCAAAAAGTGCAAAACAGCTTTCCCAACTCTGAACAAATAGAACAACTATGGAATGTTGCATATAACCCTTAATAATCTGTGAAATAAAAACCTGTATGCACTGACTCCACAGGGAAAGTCCTGCCATTTGCACTGGCAGAAGTAGAGGAACAATGCATCTGTGAGGCATTACGGTCAGAGGCCTTCAACCCTCTTCACATGAAAGCTTTGTGCTACAGATGTGCCTTGGATTAAAATAGACAACATTTCCTCCTAAAGACAATCAAATCAAAATGAGTTAGGACAAACATACAATCCTAATGGAAAAATGCAGGGGGCTCAAAGTGTCCGGGGTTACCCAGGTGCCCCACTCAGGCTACCTGTTTTTCTACATGCTCACGGCTCTGTCCTTTCTCCAAGGCATCACGAGGTGCCTGGAATGCAAAGACAGCCTTGGGATGAACATCCTGGTGCAAAGAGCAATTGATGTGAGAGCCTGGTATGGTATCTTACTCCCCCACTGGGAGGAAACAACCTAGAACATCTTCAGAAGAGAAGAGAAACGTACAGGAGGTGGGTGTATGCTAATAGGGATATGGAGGCAGAGCAAAACGCACCACATCCTCAAATGTCCACAGGTCGTAGTAAAACCAGTGTGGGAGCAGGAATAAAGTCCTCTAAACTTCAAAAGGTTTAGCACAGAGCCTTTGAGGATGAACCCATCCTGAATTACAAGGAGCACTGGAATTAACATGAGAACCACTTTATTTCTGCAGTGCTGTTTTCTACACCACTAAGATATAAGACAGTACTCTGAGCTATCAACTCCCTTTTGTTCACTTGTTTGTTGCATGGTTATTCACAGGAATGGCAGCTTTTATTTCAACAGTATAGATAAAAGTATTGCACTGAAATTTAAATGTCAAAGAATACATACTCAAATGTCAAGTACCAACAGACAAATGCCAACACAGAAATGTCAGAAATACGCCCGTGTCTCCCACTGAATATAACTACATCTGCACAAATGCAAGTCACAGTATGATGTGTAAAAGCAAGAGTTTTTATTCAGTTCCTTAGGGACTGTAATACCACTGGTGTCAATAAAATCAGTATCTGGCAGCAATCTGAATGTATTACTCCAAGAACCCAACTCTGGCAACAAGTATAGACTACACGATCTATGGTCTGCAAGGTGATGGATAACATTTACAGTCATAATGGTGCAAAATTTCTATTTCAGGCAAATCCCACGCCTGAATTTGCTAACTTGTTGCTAGATGACGGAGCCCTACACAATGAACTCTCACATGATTTCTCCCACTGCTTTCCAGGTATGACCTCAGCCCATGAAAGTTGAAGGAAGGGACTTAAAGACATTTTCTTCTAGATACATGGCTTAATTTGTCCAAATAAAGCAAACATAAACATGAATTCTTGGTGTATCCTAAACTATTTGCTTTTTTGAATCCTAGGAATATTCTGCACTTATTAATGTAAGTGCAGAAGTATAAATGACTCCAGAACACAAGGAGAACTGACTTCAAGCAGGATTTGAACTCTCGAGAAACTTGAGTGCAAAGCTCTATTCTCTTTGACTAACTTCAAATCTACTTCCTTACAAAGACAGTGAATGTCTCTTTGTCCTGGAACTAACATAAAGAGTAAACAAGAAAGGTTCAAAAAGCCTGTTCCTACTATCCCATTGTCTTGCACAACTTATGTGTGCCCATGGTCATTAACATCTTTTCTAAAAGTAAACTGTATCATAGCTTAAATTAGTACCGCAATTCTAAATTCTACCATCAGAAAAGAGCTAGAAAAGCTAGGAAGTATTCTTGTGCTTCTATATTTCCAACACCTTTCTGCGAGTCTCTCTTTCTCTTCTATATTTTTGGGACTGGAAGAACATAATTTAGTGCTTCACTCAGGCATTCACCCAGACAGGCCTGAAGTCAAAAAAATCCCAGCCAAAGTCAACCCGTAAGTAGCTGCTCAATGCATAGCACAGAAAGTAAATCAAGTCAAAATATGTTGAAACAAGCAGAACTTACAGGTAAGGGAATAAGGACTTATCCAACATTCTGGTCTCCTAAAGACTTTGTGAAGTACCTCCAAATATCAACAAGATCCAGTTCTGTTTAGTTTCTAAGCATCTGTCAGGGTCTCTACTCAAGGTGACAATTATAGGCACATGTGTACATTAGGGTATTGACAAGAGATAAAACAGCAGGAACAGAATAACAATTCCAATGAATAGCGGAGAAGAAATTTCAGTTTCAAGATACTTTAGACTTCTTATTTATCTCTTCCTTCTTTCACAGCACTTATCTGTTACTCCAGAAGCTATGCAGACAAATGATGTACTTCATCTTACAGTGACACTGACACATGGAATCAGTTTACAAATATTAAGAAAACTCTACCATTTGCTTTCAGACAATCACTTCAGGTTCCTCACATATAAAACCCAGTATGATCTGATACACTTGGTATTTTTCAGGAAATCTGTCCTCAAAGGGAAGTTGTTCTTCGAAAATCCTATTAGTCTCTTATTTGCCTATGAAGTACCATATGATTTTTGCCATATCAGATGAGCAGTTGTTCAAAGTTAAGGATATGCATTGCAAATAGAGACCTGTTCCCATAATTTCTTATGCAGGACTTAAATTTAGTTATAGATTGGCAAAACTTAAATACCAAGAAAGAGTAATTTTGCTGGAGATGTATGCCATTCCCGGTAATAATCTAAGTCCAAGCATTTGGACTGTGTCTGGCAGCTGAATACACAACATTATCTTTTTCTGTAAAACTTAATTCCTACTAAAACACCATGTACTTATATACTGAAGAGACCACACAAATTTTATCTATGCTGCAACAGATTTTCTCTTTCCATATCCGTGAATTTCATTCATCTAACAGGTACAGGAACCCACTTTGACCAGAAGTATGAGAGACTAATCTGGGTTGTCTAAACACAGTTCAATGTAAAATTCACTATTTTGGATATGGGTTGCAAGGGTTACAAAACAACAGCTTTCATGGGTCTTTTGGGACATTCAACCAGCAGCTTAACACATTACAAATGACATCTTGATCAACACAACCTACTCCAAGGTGTTTTTAAATAATAAAATAGACAGGTATCTCAAAGTTCAAGGCTTTTCTCCCGTTTCTCACTCCTTTAATGATACACAACATCATGTTATCTGCCATCAAATGCTTTTCTACTAACATGGAACACAAGAGAGGTTTTTAAAAAATCAGTGAAAATAATCTCTTGTTTGAATATATGTAACCTCACCTTGCGGATTCCTCTGCCAAGATCTTCTCCATAATTTGTCCCCAAAATTTCAAAATGCACATTGGGATTCCCCCCATTTTCGGCAAATTCCAGTTCTCCAGTCAAGCCATTCACTCCACCCTATTGGAAAAAAAAGGAAAATGGAATGAAAACTCATGAGTGGGTAATTATAATAACCTTTTGTTTCTTGAGGGGATTTATGCACTAACTATGCAGAATAACTATGCAGAACTACCAGAACTAGGATAGTTTTCCAAAGACCATGTTTCCCTAAAAATTTCAAAGTTTAAATTGTTCCTGTATCATATAAGTTCTTTACAGAAGAATTAAACTCAGCAACATTAACCAGATGCCATACAAGCAGTAGTCTTACTCTTAGAATATTTGCACTCCAATTTTTGTTCTTTGACCCATCAGCATATATGGGTCACTCTAGCCTCCAAAAATAAAAAAAACATAAAATTTTGCAACTAATTCTAGTGAAAGCAAAGCTAGACACAGATATATAAAAGAAATTGCACCAAAAAAATTAAAATTGTTGATTTTTTCTTTATTCCCCCAAATAAAGGACTTCCACATAAAGTCAGGATGAGTTTTAGATATATTTACATGCTTTTTGAGCTCATCATATGTGATTTGCACAAATGATGAAGGGCTTGTCTAGCTGAACGTAGTGATTTTTCTGTTTTCCTCCACAACTCTTCTCTACTACTGAGAATACATGATATGGGCAACAATGCAGCATATTTTCAAGTTTGCTTTAATTTTTTTCACATTTTAGCTGGAAGGGGTTAAAACAGTACAGATGAAGCAGTGAATATTTCCTACAAAGAATTAGAGTTGAAAGAGCTATACACACCAGAGCCACACTCAAAATATATTCCAGAGTTAATTCAACATGACATACATTTCATCTTTGTATAAGAACTGTGATGACCTGAACTGTAAAATCAACAGAACCACGTGAAATACCTGTAATGAAAACCTTTACCCATAAAAAATTCTTCAGTTTATAGATTCAGGGAAAATTAGATGTTTAACCCTCTCCTTCAAAAACTGTGAACAATATTTTAAGGATGTACAAAAAAATATCTGCCTCCAGTGTAAAAGCATATGAAATTTATAGCTTTTCCCCAAAAACATAAGGCAAGAATTTTGCAGTTGTGATTGGTGTTTCGCCTAAGAGCTTTATTATTTAAACTGGAAAACTTGCAATATAAGCTACCTAGCTAAGATCATGAGCTTTGCTGAAACATGATTTTAAAAGCTCTATTCTTGTATCTTCGGTTTGGAGAAAATCCAGGAAGGAATACAAAATTTGCATCTCCATTGTAGATTGTTATGAACTAATAAAATGTTGTCATCCTTTTATAAAACATTACTATGATTATAACAAACATAATGAAATTGATTACTGAGATAATACTTTTAAAATTTACTAGAGACTACTAGAGACTAGTATTAACAGGAAACAATACAGAAATATTTCATGAAATGCCATTTATAGTTAAAACCAAGACAATACTTTATGTATGTAAATTTTTCATGCTTTTAAAAAAATATTTTCTATAATATTTACTTTTTTATTACATACAAGAACAAAATAATTTTAAAAGAAAGGAAAAACACCCCAAAATCCTAAGTAAGAGTACATGTGCACAGTCTTTTGCAGGAAGACTCCAGGCCATTTCACAATTGGTGAGAACAAACTAGGCAAATTTGACACACATTGCTGTGGTTAGCATGACACTCAGGTTATTTATTATCTTGAGTAAAATCCTGTAATAACCACACCTTCATGGCTTTTAGATTGGGTTAGCACACCTCTGTCTGGTTCAGAGTAAAGAAACAGTGAGCTTTTGTTTACCTGCAAAATCACTTGAACATATGCTTTGGTAAATAACTGCTTTTCACATATATAAACATTTCCCACTAACTTAAATTTGACTTCATCCTACTCATGAACCAGAAAGCAAAAGATGTTCCCCATAACTTTTGCTCATATGGTCTTATCTGGCTTTTTGATTAATTAAAGCAGAATTTCATGTGACATCAAAACACCTGCAAAGCAGCACAGATCTGCAAGACTTAGGATGCCCAGCTAATTGCTCAAAGCCTCGATCTGGCCAACTTGCCCTCTCTGACACCATATATACACCTGTTCCCAGTCCTGCACCACTCTGACTCCTTAGCAGAAACTGATTTTGTTTTATTATACTTAATATTTCCTGTATTACTTCCTATTTTCCCCCACAACCTATGGGTCTTAGGTAGGTAAGGTATGAAACTTAATTAAACTGTTATAGACCACCTGAGCAGCACCATGATTTCAAGTGAGCCAAAAGCAGGACCTGGAAAAAGGAAGGGAAAACTCTGGAATGAAATGATAGAAAAAAGGAAATGTGCACACAAAAATTTACAATGTCTTAACACAGATGCTTTGTACAGTGGAAAGTATAGAAAACAGAAATATAAAATATTGGATTTTCAATCTAAAAAATGAAAGTGACTATTTTCAAGATTGAGAGTGGTCTCAATAATTTAAGGAACATGAAGACAGAATGTAAATGATTTTTTGAGACTTGAGACAGCACTTTAAAATTTTTGTCAACTTTTTTATTATATTCTATAACCTTTGTCCTTATTTGAGCAAATATGATGAAAAAATAATTTAAAGAAGCATTTCACCTCAGTTACATTTGAAGTCATCAAATCCATTTCTTAAGAAAACACAGGATTTTTTGGAAATATATGTCCTCTTACATATAGTAGAGGCTAACAGACTTATCTAACATATTTTGGAATTTAATCTTTATCCAAAAATATTGTATAAGTTAATTTACCTATATTTGTAAATGGCTGCAACTGTTGGGGCAAGATACAAACTGTAAATTTGTTAGTTTTTATTTGTCTGGGATCCAGTGGTAACCATAACAACATCTTTTCTCATTTATCTATTCTGGCAATTCTATCATTCTTTGAAAATTTCTCACGTAGGAGTGTCTTTGATCAGAGCTTCTTTTCCTAGACTTTACATCTGCAAATCATGTAATAAGAGCTCAGATTAGATGGGAATGCTACCTGGCTTGGGAAGAGCAGAGGCAGAAAGACAAAACAGTGAAGAACCGCCCATATTACACCAACAACAATATTAAATTTACAGAAAATTTCTTGGAGATCCTTATTTCTCTTCACTACCTGGGACCTATCCTGTTGGACCTGTAGGCCATGCAATCCTGTTATTGTTCTCTCATCCTCATTGTCCCATACAGCCTTTTTACAAGGCTTACACAAATTTGGTTTATTGCTTAGGGCTGACAGAGTGGGACAGCCTAGGAAGATTTTCAGGACACTGCTCCAATTTTTACACATAGCCTTTCACAGTGTGATCTCTCTGAAACACTTACTTGATTTATGGCATGTGTTTTATCCCTCTGCTAATGCATAGTGGAAGGAGATCACAGAGGAAATGACCATCTGTATGACAGCTACTGCTCCAGTAACTTCTTGATGAGATTTTTCCAAGTGATTTCAGTGTTAATTATGATAATGGGCAAGAGTCAAAGAAATTTCTCATTCCATTTAACTTACAGAAACAATGCTATTTTGGGGAAAATGAAGACACATTTGTTATCTATCTTCTCAAATTCCTCTAAGGTTGAGCTGCAACCATGAAATTTCTTGACACATATAAAACTGAACAGTGAAATGTCAGTTGTTAGGACAAAAATGTTTTACTTATGTTTCTGATCACTACTCTGGGCTTTGCAGAGCTGTTATAAAGCTTGGCAATATAGTTAAAGCCTACTTGAGTCCCATCTAGACTGGCAAGATAAACTACAGTTTATATATGCTTAGGCACCACTACACTGTAAGTCCCTGAAGAAAGCACTATTTACCTAGCAGTCAGGACCTCACTTGGGAATGTCAGCTTGCCAATCATCAGCTATAAAATATTGTACTTTCTCTCACAGCTTCTGTTCAAACTTCCTCCTTTTTTCAACATATGGGTATTCTCAGAAAGTAGCTACTTTGCATTAAGGATAAAAAAAAGTGTGGCTATAGGCAGGAAAAAATGCTATAAACACTAAATATGAGTTTCACATTTTATTATTGAAAAAATCTGATCTTGAGAACATTGTTGAATTTTCAACTCAAAGCACCATTTTTAGCTGCTAGCACAGACAGTCCAATCTACTATCTGACGAACAATTTGGAATCTTTTTTGCGAGTCACCACTGAATGTCACGACATTTCTGAGACCAGAACTAGTTGACAATTCCAACTATGATTCATGAAACAGCACAATGTACAGCTCGTTTCCCACAAAGGAATAGGCTGTATGATGCTGCTAGCACTAAAAATTTGCTGTTTGTCAGTGAGCTAAACAAGTGTGACTGGGAAGAGACCCAATATGTGTGAGAGAAGATATATGCAGAAACTTGATGTCGTTTTCCTGAGTTGATCTTCCACATAATCCTGCTTACATTTATTCTCGGGCTATTCAGGAAGATTAATTTTTCCAATAGTGGAATTATTTTCTAGTGGTGTTTATTTCTATGACTGTGAAATAGCTTTACTGAGAAATAAACAAGTGAGCATGTGTTTGGAGATAGTTTGTATTACAGAAGTGAATTTAAACCAATTGCTAAAGCTGGCCAAATTCATTAGAAGGATTGTGTTTCCTGATGAATTTAACTATTTTTTCTGTTCCAGAATGGGTAGAAACAGATATTAGATTTAAATAATTGTAGTGGGCTTAAAATGTTTTCTTTAGGCTCTGTCCAATCAGCTGAATCCACACAGAAAAAAAACATCTTTTGGAGTTTTTTGTAGAAATAGTGATGCACAACTCAAAAGTAACAAATGACAATAAGAAATGATTTAGACAGCTATTCTGCCATTTCAAGAAATGTTTGAAACTCTAATTCCCTCTCATTCCCTACTCTCTTCTATAGCTCATAAAGAGCTACCATTAAGAGACCAGTTTATTTATTTTTAACAACTGCTGCTGCAGGTAGAACATAAGCATCCCTTTCTCTTACTTCTTCAGTGTGTAGCTTTATAAAGATTTCCCAAGTCTTTTCTTATTTCCCCCTCCAGAAATCAAAGAAAGATTTCCGAATGCAGCTAAAACACTGCCAGATATTCCTGTTTCTGGATCTTGAAATCTAAAAGACAGATATTTCTTCTATAGAAGTTTCTTCTAGAACTAGTTTTCTCCTGCTTGTTTTTAGTAGCAAAAGCTCAGTGGTGCTTCTGCTTTCCTGCTGCCAAGAGAACAACTACAGTTGCTGGTCCTCTCCTAAGGCAGGCAGGCTGGAATCAGACATCTCTTCCTTAATTCTTTTTCCTCCACCACCATATTTGACTACAATTTGACTTCCAGTGAAACTACATTGAGATCATGGACAATTTGAGACAAGATGGTGATTTCAGCTCTACAATACAGATGATCATGAAGGGAGAATTAAGGTTGTGCAGAGGATGGAAGTTCTTTTTCCAGGACGTATTTAAAAAATTTCAAAATGTATCTTCATCCTGAACTATATGAGTTTCTTTTTATTATATTCCATTACACACACCTTTGAAACAGTGGTAATTTCAAAATGAAAATGCAGAACTTTTTATTTGGAAATTGGTAACTTTTTCCTATTTTTTTTTCAGAATTAAGGAAAACTGGTATGTTTTTGAGAAAAAAAGATCGTATTTCAGTTGGTTTTAGAAGATTCTCCAGAATGACAGAAGAAAAAAGATGTATGAAGAAAAAGGCAAGATGAAAAACAGAAGCATTCTCAAGAAGAGATTAAATGTTTATTATTTTCCTCTTCATTAGTTTTTAATTTTACTGTTTTTCTGTTACCTCATCAGGCACTCCTCAATGCCAAATTTTTAATTTCAAAAGTAAACAATTGTGATTCTGCAGTTCCTCTACATAAGTGCTGTAGTGAAAGAAAAGGTAAAGTAGGCCACAAAACCAAAGGAGGATTCACGCTTTTGTGCAATTCCAGCTCTCAGCTGAAATCTTTAGCTTTCCTCTGCCTATGGATTGAAATGTTACTGACACACATGCACAGAGGAAATTTCTGTATTTCATTTGGATTAAATCTTGACTTTCCATTTTAGCATGTTACTTCTTGAAATTCATCTCCATCAGCACAATGCAGTGTAAGGAGTATTTCAGTTATTCAATTTACACTAATAAAATAGTTTCTTATCAAAGTCATCTCATTGAAACAGCAGAGAAACCCAAAAGTAACAGGATGCAAGTGTGATGAGCTGCACATATCAGGAATTTCCTTGGCATTTGATTAATTTTTTAGCAAATTAACAACAACTCTGGAATTCCCACTTGCTCCTGCCTTCTTGAATGTTTTCATATTTCTCCCAGCCACTTCCTTCCATTTTTCAGGGTTAATCTTCAACACAGTACAGCTTTTCTGTGAAAGGTCACAGAAGGAATTTGTTTAGTAATCACATCATTTTAGGAGATGAGAATTGGAAAAAGATAAACTGGATACCTAGGATGATGTGGCAAAGAATGGAATAAACTGAGATGCAAAGAGACAGTAAGGTGGTATGCTATATAAGAGAACAGGATCAGTCTTGCATCCACAAACAACAAAGAAAATAATCATAATACAAAAAAGTCAGCAGCCCTTTCCATGGTGTAGTACTCCTCCATTTAGAGATGCTAGCAGGGTTACCAGACTTTGCCTGAAACTCCAGCTCAGATAGTAAATTCTAATTCTAAAGTGGAAGTGGGTATTTTGACTTTTCCAGCTCAAGTATCGTATTTGGATTTGTTTAATAGAAATAGCATTTAGTTAGACTGCCAAATGTGAATTTGAAATTGCTCTGATAGGTTAAGAGCAATACAGTTTAGAGCCCCTTAAAGCCATATCCTGCCCCTAAAATAAGAAACATGTCCTGTATTATACTTGCAGTCTCATGACTTCAGACTGTTAGAACGGAAACTGGAAACAGAACTAAAGAAAGCTTTGAACTGTTATTTTGGAGTTAATGCAGATTAAACCAGCACTGGGTAAAACACAAGCAGTGCTCAAAGGAGCCTTACATTTTGCCTGCATTATCATAATTTCTGGTATAGCTAAATACCTAATGCAGAACGATAACTTCTTGAGATAACATTATATTTTACATTACTTTTATGTCCTTTAGTGAAATCCATAAATAAAGTATAATTTTTCGATTTTTGTTTTTTTTTTTTTTGTTTTTACTGTCCTGGGTTTTTTTGTATTTACAACGTCAGCACTGCCAGCACTTTAAATGTAAGTATACATTACTAAGAAGTACGTGCAGACAAGTGGGAAGGCAGTTTTATGAAAGACATCAATAACATAAGGAGAATGAGGTGAATAACTTACAGGGAAGGTTAAACTATGAGTCTGTGTATATTGACTAAATACTGACCTGGAAGGCTGTAATATTTGTCTGTAAGTATGTGGAGGCTGTAAATATCATGAAGAAAGGAAATAACTAAGAAAAATTATCTTTAAGGACTGATGAAAAGGAAAAGCATCTTGGGCAATGAGCATGATTAAGGTATGAAATAATAATCACAGGGAAGCAGCGAGAGTTTGACATTGAATAAAGCACTGTAGAGACAGTTACAGGAACAGTTCTGCAATGGCAGGATATAGCCTACATAAGTTGAGGTTTTCCTCACTTTCTTTTCTTTGATTTTACTATAGTAATGTCAAAAGCAGCACAACAGCAAATTCCACAGAACGTTGCCCAAGTGATATTCTGCAATTTTTTCTTTCTTCTTTTACAAATAGTAAATTTATTTGCTTTTCTTCCTAACCTGTGACACTTTTTCAACAGTGACTCTTTTTCATCTGTGACACTTTTTCTTATTTCAACATCCTACTGGTTTGGTCGTTTTAGTAAGCAAACTCATTGAATTTATTTCAATATGATTATTTATGACACAGAAAAAAACCAAACAACCACCAAACAGCCAAAAACAAATAAAGACTAGTTTCATTCAGGAACTGTGAAAATATAAAAACTATACTGCTGGTACTGACAAGAGTAATATGTAATCCAGCAGGAAATACTGCTTAATGTGAGCATTTTAGAAATCAAAGATGAGGAAACACAGGGAAAAGGTACCTTCTTGATGGTTTCCAACATCGATCGTCCTCCTTGCCAGGGTTTAGAGTTCTTCCTGATGCAGGTGAGGCTGGCCATGCTGTGCCACTTCCTGTCCTCCAGCTTTTTATGAAAGGCATTTGCCAGTAGGAGGACAGTGTCATATATATACAGGTTTGAAATCTGTAAGGAGACAAAAAGGGAAGGATTAGCATTTTTATTTGTAGTCTCCTGCCAGCAGCCAGAATTTATCATTTGTTTTGCCTCACCCATAATCCTCTGGTAATTAAACACCTTATTTGATATTAAGAATCTGTAAGAGTCAAAATGCCATACCTTTGGGTTCTGGTAAAATCTGTATCTAGGGCCTGTAATGCTGGAAGTGATTTGCAGCAACCAGCTACACACACGAGAAGTACAGACAGCCCAATCACTGGCACAGCTCCACTTGCTGGATTTAAAGCCCTACTCATGAACGTAAACAGATTTTCTTTTATTTTAAACCAATTGTTTGCAAATTTCAATTTTTCAGTCACCAGATATTTGGACACCATTAAATTATTTTCAAGGTTGTTTTGTTCTTTTGAAAAACAGAAACTCAGAAAATTTAAAATCATTTAATTGTGTTTTTTGCTCCTGATTTTTGTAGTCAATTCTGATTGAGGCAATTTCTGGTATGAAATATAATTCAGTGTGCAGAGTGCAATTGCATGTAGATTCTGCAATTTGTAGTGTTTCCTGTTGAAGTATTTGGCATTGGCTGCTAATTCCTCACAGGATAAAATTCTTACAGAGTAAATGCATATGTGTTTCACTGCAAGCATAGTTACACGCACACAGTATGAGGAAGTTCCAGTTTGGGATCAAAGACAGAACAGTTGAACTCAAGAAAAGATATCACTTGTGTGCCAGTTCCACTTACCCATGTACTATTTTTATATATGTACTTTCAAATGCCCACAGTACAAAGTCAAAAGCAAAAGATACAATTAAACGTAAAAGAACAAAAGCTCAGAATTCATGAACGCTTCTGAAACAAGTAATTTACAACATAGCTTTATATCAGTCTTTTCCGTCCTTAAATGGCAGGAACATTTAAGTTACTGACAGTATCATAAAAAAAAACCCCTCAGCTGTCCTGAACAGAGGTTCTCTTCAAGAAAAATTATGTTCAGAAATGAAAAGGACCTTCAGGAATATTATTTTTAGATAACCTATTGGTCATTTGAAGTTATTGAGGGAAACTCAGTTTCCTCATCTGCCTGATAACGGGGTCTGTAGGGCATTTCTAGTGCCTGACAACAAATTAGTCAGTGGTAATTTGCTAACTGAGGCAAGGCTGCTGTGGTTTTTTCTCCATCAGTCACAGACAAGCCAAAAAACACTTTCTCGGATTTGTGGAATATGTTGACTGCTCTCTGTAAAGGTTTTTTTTACACAGATACAGATGGTGTGTTCAAAATCTTTTACCAGAAGGAAGCTTACAATAGAAAGTACATCAACTTTGTGGAGAATGCCCCTATTCTGTTGTTTAAATATATCCAAAGACTGGGAAAGTCCCACCACTGTTGGGAGGGGCTATATGGCAAACAAACACAATAATGCTGAACATGTGAGACAATGATTGGCAAAGCCACACATCACCTTAAAAAACAGGAGGAAAAAAAAACCTAAGGGAAAAACCCCCACCTCTCTTCCTGCCTAATTACTCTTTTCCATATAACCTACTTTTATGTTTTTATTTTCTTTTCTAAATTCTATCTTCATGCTGGCTTTGCTTGTGTCATCCACAACCTGCTCCATACTGTTCCTAGGAGGGTTATGTGACAGATTCCTTCCCTGCCGAGCATCCAGGAAAGAAGGAGTTTTTCTCCTTACCTGGCTAGAATTATTTCAGACTTTTTGCCTTCCATATTTTGTCAAAGGATACCTAATTGTCTGCCGCTTTCCCTTCTGATAAACTCTCAGAATCCTCTATTACCTTTACAACTCTACATTGTTAGTACCACAGATACACAGAACCTCTGATCCTTATTGCCCTTTTTCTTTAAATGATAATGATCCTTCACTCCATCTTTCTGGAAGACACTTCTTTATTCTTACTCGGGCTTCTCCAGTGACTCCAGTGGCTATGAACATTTCCATTTCAGTATTCACCCAGGAACAAATTTACTTCACACCTGCAGATGCATAGGCCAGGCATCACCGTGCATGACAGGATTAAAAACACAGATTGAGGATCTGGGTTCAGAGTAATCAAGCACTTTTAAAACAACTTGGATGATTTGCCTGTGTATTGTAAACCTACAGAGAATTCAAAGCATTTCAGCTAAAACTATATTTCTCCAATGAAGTCAGTACTAGAGGGACATTTGCTGGAATGGGGAGGAAAGGAATTATCACTGTGCGGTGAGGCAAGGTTTTTTTTACATAAACCTTTGCCAAAGGGATAAAAACATCCCTTTCAGGGGATTGCCAAAAGGAGAGAGAGGCAATAAGGTCACTAACGAGACTAAATTGGTACATGAAGGGCTTCAGATGGCAAGTCATCATTTCCCAACAAATTGACATTGCTTTCAAGGTAGCTTCTGTAACCTACTGTCATGGGAATAGAAGACAATTGTCACAGTTTATGAGGAAGGATGCACTCACTAATCTAAGAGTAATATAGCTGGGCCTTCGTCAAGTATTAACAGGGCTCAGGAGGACAGAGTTCAGCAATTATTAAGCATTGTTATTCCTTCACTAATAGTTCAACTTAACATTTACAGCAATCAATCACTGATAATTCAATGATAAAGACACTACAATTAATTCCCGTTTCTCAAAATCACCCTTCCCTGTCACTACCAGAACTATGCTTCATTAGTAACTGTCCTGATGAACAGAGCAGGGTTGTAACTTAAAGTCACTTTACACCTTTATTAATTTCCCACATAAATTTACTGGGGCATTTAATGCATTACCTCATATGCCTTACTGATCCTTTATTTATTCCAAGTCTCTTAGATGAGAGGGGGGGACACTTGCATTACCAAGTAGTATTTAACTGCATAACCTTCTGTTGATGTAATTCAAAATTCAGAAGTGATTTTTTTGTTCCAGAGCATAGAAGAAAACTATTTAGCAATCAGATTAGGGATGAGTTATTAATCTGGATTAACAGTGGTCATTTTATGCATACCTATGATATTGCACATGTTTTTAGACAAAAAGGTTATGGTACTAAATACTTCTGTGAATCCGGTTTTTAACTTCCCACCTCCAAAACAATAAAAATTTATATAAGTAGTTTCAACTAGAAAAATTCCAGAGACACAATGAGGCATCTTCACCAAAATATTTTTTCAGTGTTTTAATAAAGATGCTGAAAAAAATTAATTATTCACACAGACTTTAGGGGGAGTAATTCAGAAAAAAATAAATCAAAAAATCCACCCTTATAATTTCCAGAGAATGTTTCTGATTAGTCACACTTCAATGTCATAAAAAAAAGAGCATTAGTAATTTCAATTTTAAACTGTTCCAACTCCCCATTGGATTAGAAACTAATTTATAATATTGTTGAGTAGAACAAAGAAGCAGCAAACAAACCCCACAGCTACTCAAAGGTCTGTGCATCATATGAAGACACAGGGGAAACTGTGTCAGAGTTTTCCTTCCTTTCAGTTTCTAATGTTGTCTCACTCAGCTAATAATGAAGCACAGCCATCTCAGGGAAAGGATGAAAAAAGCAAGTTAACTGTTTTTTGTGAACAGTTAAGCCAGTAAAGCTTCCATCATTCCTTTGACACAAAACATTACAAAAGCTTTCAATAGAAATATTATAGCTCTCCAAGTTATATGTTGATCATGAAGCACAGGTTAAGGCATGGGATCCTATCTAACACATTAAATGGAATTTGCCAATTTGTCGAGAAAAAATTTTGATTTCTTGAACTTATCTTTCCTTGAGTCAGTCAACTGTTAAAGTGAAAATGAAAATGAAGAGAAAGATAAATTAACATATGAAGCTTCCCATCAATACATGATTTTTGTTTTCTGCCTTGATGTAGTTAGTAACTGTTCACGAAAACTGCTCTTTGCAACCTCTAGTGCCTTCATGTAATCACACCCTCAGCTTTAACACATTGTCTGTAGACTACCCAAGTTCCCCTTAGGAACATGCTGCCATAACAGCATGGTACAGCCTTAAAGGACTTCCTAAAAAGTCTCTAGAGATATCCAGTGCATCTATGGACCTTACACAGCCCTGTTTAAGAACTCTACTAGGAGGACCGTGCAGTGTGCTACAGCCAAAGTTTTTCATGTCATCAGTTATTGTTTACTGGCCATGTTGTCCACAATTTGTAACAGACAAAGGCTCTTACAGCTAATCTGGAACAGGGCAAGACTATCCACACTTCTCCTTTTACACTTACATATTTTCATTCCAAGCACAGACTCTTCAAAACCTCCCTATTTTTCTCCCATTGTTTTCTCTCACTCTTCCTCCACTGCTAAAAACAATCTTTCCACAGTTACAAAAATGAACACAGGAAAAAACCAAACCAAAAGTAAAATCAACATGTTAAGCCAATTTCACACTCCTGATTTGCCATAGCTTTGTCATGATGAAGCCTAATGAGAGACGGAGGAATTTTTCTTGGAAAAACTGTGTGAAATCAGGAGGACAGTGACCATGACCCTGTTGCTGAATTCATGTGGTAATTAATTGGTACAATTGTGGTACAATTAATTGTAATTTGTGATTAACAACCCTGAAAATAAGGCCTCTTTGGAACTTAGATTTAGATGTATACACTAAGACACTTGAAATAGATGATGTGGGTGATCCCCAGGAAGACTTTCCTATTGACAACATATTTGGGGCTTAGAGAAGCACAGCCACTCAGGAGACATTGACTACAGGGAGGAAATTCTTCTTGGTGAGATGACAAAAATTAAAATTTAGCAGGGCAACAAAATGAATACCCCACTACCTGGAGATCAGGTGGCTTTTTTGGATGTTTATCTCTATTACTGTGGAGCGGGCAAGTTGTTCTCCATTGGCCACATTCACCCACCCTAACCCAAGTATTTCCTTGTCATGCCATAAGCCATCAAGCTACATGTCAGAGGGGACATGAAAAATAACATTAAGTTACACTAAGCCCCTGGGGAAAAACTTAGAACTTATCTAGAAAGACAGTTCCCAGGTGGGGATAGACTAGTATATGAACTACCTCCATGCTTTGGGAGAAAGGGTCCTTCGGATCACACAGTGATGAAGATATTCTGTGGTTGCCACGGAAACAGCGCTGACTTATGTTTTGGGGAACTGGAAATGTCTGTCGAATAATTGTTAATCTTCCAATTGACCTTCTCACCAGCTCCTGCACATCCACGTCATTTATTTCCTGAAAGATAAGGCAAGGGAGAGAATATGGATGAGAGTTAAAATTCAGTGACCAACAGATCAGAAACAAAAAAATAAACTGAGTGGAGCAAGAGGCCTGTGATTGATACACAGCTACTGTCAAGCTCTGCCACAGCCTTGAAAACAATGAGTGCATGCTCATTAAAACAAGTGACATACCACCCCTAACTGCACAACTTTAAAGAGTACTGTGCCCAAACCTCACTAAATACTTGTAGATGTAATTGAGCCTAGTTGTTTCATTTGGGATTTTCTCTGCCTCTCCTTTTACCCTTTTCTGATCTTTAATTTAAGAAGTGTTTCACAACATCCTTGACAGATAATGTGTAAATCAGCAGGAATTCATACCATGATGTATTTCTAAGTGTAGCATTACTTAGGAGCTGTGAAGGTAGAGAGAATTTTTCAGGTCTTAAGTGTTCATTTCCTAGAAACAGAATATCAAGAACCTATAAACAATGTGTAAATTAGCAAACATGTAAGTTAGCCCATTTACCAAAAGGGCAAAGAAAATGCACAAGATCATTCTAGGTGCTTGCTTATAGCAAGACCTAATTTGAAAACAAATTTTTATTCCATAGGGAACCTATTAAGGCTTACGACAGAATACTCAGCTCCACAGACACATACTTTAAAGAAAAAATAACTAAGTAAATACATCAATATGTGAAATATTAAGCTTAAAATATTAACTCTAAGACAGGTTAGGGAAATCAGAAAACCAGTTCTTTACATAGCATAAATTCCTGCAGCTTGGGAACACATTTTTTTACGCCATTGAATGATGAGCCCCTCAGGGAATGTGGAATAAGAGGAGCACAGGTTCACAGGCAACAACAACTTACTCCAAATTTCACATAAGAACTTGAACTTTAGTTAATCTTTTTTTTCCCTAAAGACTCAAATAGAGTCAGCTGGTTGCTTTCAAATTAATTCTGTGTCTGTATTTTTCTGTAAAATAGTAGGAATAATCTAAAATTTGTTCAGTCTTTTTAACCAAAATCTATTTTTCATCATGCTGAACTGTTTATTCATAATCTGTCTTAATGACAGAGGCTGATGCCCCAAACTTTCTAGACATTTAAAATTGTGGATATGCCCCCAGGAAGGGAGGTGCTCAAGGAGCTCCTATTAGCAGCCTGAATTTAACATTCCCTTTCATAAAGCCACAGTTATTTTTGATTCTCATTTTTGTATTTATAGCTTTTCATTTTTCAAAGGATACAGCACATCTGTTTTGTTATACCTGCTTTGTGTAATGAAATGCCATCATCTTTTTCTGTCTTTAGCTTTCTGATCTGTAATCATATTAAAGAATTTAGGAGACACCAGGAGATAGACTTGATCTCAAATTATGGAATCTTTCTATTGAAAAGGAAGCCAAGCTTTTTGAAAAGGCAGCACTCTGTGACAAGAGAGACAAGAGCTGTCTACGTTAAGACAACTATCCCAGTTATTTTGGATTTTTTTTTTGCAGTTTTAGTATAATATCCTTCTGTTATTTTGAAGCAACTTCTTTGGACATATTGGTATTTGTTTGTTTCCTTTAAATTTTGGAAGAAAAACATTTGAGATGTAAATTTTAACTTCTACTCTCTTGACTACCATAAAAGTATTTTATTCGCCTTCACAGATTATCACAGTTTCTGAATTCATCTGTTATTAGTGTTCTTTATGAAATATAGATTTTTCTGTAAAGAGAAATAATACATAGCATCAGCTGTGTCCAGTGTAATATCTTGCATTGCTGGTCAATTAATTCTTAATTTACCACAGATAATGGTTTATGTCAGCTTAAGATGCCGTCTTTTCATTTAGCCTGTATCATTTCACTAGCTTCAAAGTAAAAAAAAAAAAATATATAATGCTGTTTTAGCAAAATACATATCATGTTTTTTTAAAATACTTTCAATACAATCATAAAGGAGAGCTCAAGTAACTTCTTATCTTGATTTTAAATTATATCCTTTCTCAGAGGATTTAAAAAGAAGTTTTTCTAGTTTCATTATACACCATGCCTAAACTGTAAACTCAAGATTATTAGACTCATTCTAATAATGTAAAACCAGATACCTGCATGGCCACATCATATTTCCAAATATTACTTCAAAAGAGATTTTGACTTTCAATTCCTCAAACATTTATCTTTTCTGCCTTAAAAGTATATTTATGTTTTCTGTAGTAAGCATGTTTTGGTGCATTTTAAATAGAGTGTTCTCATTTTAACCTTTAGGCTACTACCTCATATTTTTATACATCACCTGACAACAGAATTCAAACATCAGAGATATTTTTGTAGGGTTGCCAAGGAGGTATATACATCTACAGATTAATGACAGCTATTATTTTAAATGCTGTGAATTCCACTGATTATATCATATATTCAGATTTTAGGTTAACAAAAAAGCAATGCCAGGCAAACCCTAATTCACCATTAGTCATTTGCTATGTATTTCTTTGTAATTTTTTTAATGCTTGGCATTGACTGAGTGACAAGCCTTTTATATAATGACTCTCCAATATCATCTCTCATTCTTGTATTTTGGATCTGACTTAAGAAAACTATATAAAGCAACTATTGTATGAGAGGAAACAATTTTCATTTGCACTTCAAAGGAGGATACAGTGTAATGATATAAGGATGGCAGATGATTTGTTACACAAGCATCAAATGTCAAAAAAAATTAGAAAGTTGGCCAAGTTGAACTGAGTTGGCACCTGTATAAATTTAGGCTAGGTTATGTGGGGTTGCTTTTTTTCTTTACATCAGAAGTTCAATATATAGTTCCAAGCCTTTCTTTCATTTTTCTGAACTTGGAATAAAGTGGACACTGTCCTATCACAAATGCAACAAGGATAAAATTAGATGTACGTTTCATCAGAACAGGAAAATAAATAAGAAAATAAATGCTGTTTTAAATTAATAACTCTTTGGAGATGAATTAGGGAAAGGGAACTGAAGAGGATCATCTTGATATATAAGGCAGGGACTCCAGTGGGAAACATGACAGGAAACGTAATATATATTGCCATTCAGATTTGTCCCATTATTTTAAGACAAGCAGCCCAGGCAGAGACTTACTGTTCACCATAGGGCAATTGTACCTGTAGTGAGAGACATGAAGGGAAATAATTTATTTACATGCTCCTGTAATAAGCACCAAAGTAAGGCAGCAATACCATTTATTATGGAAACAATTTTGGGCCAAGAGGATGATTCCAGTATTTATAATATAGTGGACTTGCCCTATTTTTCAGCGCATGCCAGGACTTCATCACATAAATTCACGACACTCAGAGAGGAGAGTGTTTCTTCCTCCTCCAAAAGCCAGCAGCAGTGGGCAGAGGGCAGAGCAGGAAAGGGTGGCCACTGCACACCCCCTTGAGGCCTCAGGGCTGCCACTGCCCATGCCATAGCACATTTGTGCTGTGCCCTTCCTGAATTTCTCAGCACCTTCCAAAGAGGAGTAGTTGAGGGAAAGGCATAACTAGATGAAGCTCCAAGACAAGTAAAGGAAGATCTTGAACTGCATGATCACTTGCTTCATTATATCTCCCTTAGGCTTCTTGGCTCTGGGAAGGAGGGTGAATAAAACCTGATAGGACAATGAAATAAATTTTAAGGTTTCACAGAGAAAAAAAAAATCCAAGAGTTTGGAGAAAGCAGGGTTCAATCTGTCTGTCCGTTAGTTCTCACTATGCCAAGAGCTGGTATCTTGGTTGCCCACCTGTTCCAAAGAGAGTGTCACTGGACCCACTGACCCATTGCAAAAGGGTTCAAATGAAGCTCTAGTGTTACTATTAATCATTATCCATATGAAAAGGTAGAACTATGTGAGCTCCTGGAACTGAGCCATGATTTTAGGACCTGAACTAACTGCTCAAGCTTAAAACACAGTTATGCTCTATGCTCTTCTCCATGGTGGAGGGCAATACGGTGAAGCACAATGGAACCATGTTGAATACATGGGCCAAGGACCAATCCTCTCCTAGGAAAAATGTGCTCATCAGAAAGTAGCCTTTGAATACAACCTTGCAGGTCCCCCAGTCCTCTCATGTGCTATGACTGGCAAACCAGTTAGATCTTTTTCTATAAACTGGTCTTTTTAAAAGAGTTTGGTGGGTTTTTTCATTCTTTCCTCAAAGAAGAGTTTTTCCAGACTCTGATGCCTGGTAATTAGAAACCTTTTATCAACTTTTGACCTCAGTTTGCCCATGGATAAATTGAAGTAATTTGTTCTTGTGTCAACCTTGTCCTCTAGACTTTGAGAATGATGCATTTATTCACACTTTGTATGTGTTTATAAACAGAGAGCACATCCTCTTTCAGTCTTTGTTTTCATAGCCTTATCAAGCCAACCTTTCCAGTCTCTTCTCACACAAATCAGCTTTTCTGTGCCCTCATTCCATTATCTTTTTAATAGAGCTGGTCATAGTTCTGCACATTATTGTAGATGAAACCCAACCAATCCTTTGTAAAGAAGCATTAATAGTTTCACCTCCTGTATGGTAACTGTAGGCATTGGAAGGTGTTTGGGGCTGACCTTGAGATAACAATGGTAACAGAGAACTGGTGGCAATCTTGGGTGTGGTAAGGTAATAATCTTGAGACTATTAAAATTGAGATTAATAACCTTGAAAGTTTTAACACAGGAAAATGTTTGAAAGAGACATGACAGAAAATGAAAAAGAGGACATTTCTTTCATTTAAAAAGGGTAAAGGAAAGAGGTGATAATCATACAAATGCCCCTCCTTCAGTTGCACTAAATAAAATCACACTCGTGATTTAAGAAGAAATATAATTTTTCTATCCTGGGATTTTTGAAGCTATATTTACTATTGTGCAGAGGAAATGAAGCAAGCAAAGACAGACAGACAGAGGGAGGGAGAGCGTGAGAAATCCATTCTCACATTTTGTTAAGGCATATTTGATCATGACTACATTCAAATCTATGATTCCTGCAAATTTTAAATAAAGAATTGCAACATCTGCTTTAAGGCCTTGAAGAAATAGGAACATTTAATTGGAGACTGTCTTCTCAGCTGACTACAATGGCCAGAAGAGATTTACATTATTTGCTGAGGGCTAATATGATGTGTTATGTTTTATGGGAACAAACCCCCTCCTCCCACATATACATTTCCATTATGATACACAGTCTTCAAGAAAATTTGCTGTATTACCTAAAGTAGCAACTAATGGGACAATAAAATTTAAGGAACTCTTTGCAGGCATTATAGCATTAAGAGTGAGCAATTAAAATAACAGATGTTACCTCACAAAGCCTAAGCAGATTCCTGATCACAAAACTGAAGGTGGTATTTTCTTTTGTATTACTATAGTTGGTAAGTATGTTGTATTCCCTTGGCACAGTGATGGAAAAGGAAAAACAATTCCAGCTTATTTTGGTATCTCAATGCAAGGAATTATTTCATTCATATGTAGAATTTTGCAAAACAATGCATTTTCACTGTAATAAATCATTTTAGAATTTCAAATTAGGAGGCCAGAGATGCAGTGCTACAGTTACTTAGTTGGCAGTCTGATTTAGCCAATACAGGTACTCGAACACATGTCTAAGTTGCCACAAAAGATTCATATAAGCAACAAAATAGACAGAGTTCCAAGATCATTTCACAGTCATATGGAAGTATTGTGGTCATCAACGGGAAATGGACAACCACCTCAAATGGACTTGGATATAAAGATGGCTGTTTCACATTCCACAGAGTAAAGGCCCCACAAATCATGTATTTCCAAATCTTGCACTGCCAAATGGAGGCATTGCAATGTTGTTACTGAACTGGCAAAATGTTGCAATAAGCAAGTAATGTTACACAACAGTCATCATTCAGGAAATATGTACATTTCTGTTGCAATTTGAACATAGTGGTAAGGAAAAATTGGGCAAAACAGAAGTCCTTCTATATTATTACCTACCTATCTTATTTATTGCTAATCTGATTTCTGTGTCTGCAAAATATTGAGATTATTAGCATTTTTTAAATAAAGTTTGACAGTTACTTAAGTGGGAATATGTATTTAGGTCCAGAAGCAGATTAAGTTGAGATAGCACTAAACATATTCATTTCCTCTAAAACCAAAAACATGAACAACTGAATGAGATACAGAGATTTCAATGGCTATGGTTTACAGCACAGTTTGTCAGAATTAACTTAATCACGGCTTTTGCCTATTTCACATACAAGACTATAAAACTAAGAAGAGATGATGTACGTTTCTCTGCATATATTATTCATCTCTCTTAGCTGTTGGGACTGCAGCCCGAAGAAAGAGTTTGGAGTGGAGAAGGTAGTTGAGTGGTAACCACTTTGATTGCTCTGCCATTTAATCTGCTGCAATGTGCAAATAACAATGCTTAGAAAGCAGATTTTTTCCCACAGAGACATTAGTTTCTGAATAAAAAGTGAAGAGAAAGTATGTATGCTAGGAATGGATCCTCGGTTTTATTTTCCTTTTTGAGGGTGAATGAGCTGAAACAGCTAAAAGTAAGCACCTTCTTTTGAACTTCTGGAAAGTAAATAACATTTAAAATGAAAAACCAATAGTAGTTGCTTTTTAATGTGAACAGTAAGCCAAAATCTGAGCTTTGCCTACGATTGCTGTCCAATCTATTGATACAGAGGATGGCTTTATATTCAGTTAATGGTCTCTTTAAAATACTATGTGTTAAGTCTAAAGAGTATAGATGAACACTCTATTTCAAAATTCCACTCACTACAAGTGAATTCTAGTTTAATCTGACGTGGAAAAGAAAACATGTATGTTGTTCACATGACTGCCTGTAGATCAAAGCTGGGTTCTCAACCAGCAAAGCCCCACTCAGTGCTGGAAAACACACACAATACTGGTGAGGAGAAATGCAGGGCCCAAATTAATAATTTATGCTGGACCTGGTTTGTCTTCACAGCATTTTCGGAGACATATTTTTCTCCAAGGAAAACTGGCCAAAATCCACTGGTTTAGCACAGTATATTGATGAAAATTTAGTAAATAAGTATGAAAACAGAAGTGTACAGTAAATCCAGGCAGTAGACCTGGAATTTACACGCGATATCTCCAACCAATCTTTTATCCTGAGAATATTCAGGAGTTGCATGATCTACCTGTTAGGGGAGAGTTATTTATTCAGGAAATCCAGCTATTCTGGACCTAAATTGTATTTCAATAAACAAAAGAAAAACCTGAATACTGTCAAATCTAAGAACTGTACTGTTCAATGTTTTATATGCAAAACTATTTCACATATTGAGTTGTCATATTTTAGCTGACAAGTTTTCATGGAAGAACTTATCTCATAGTTTAAAAACAGGTTTTCAATTTAAATTTCTTTTTTCCCTTTATAAACATTCACATATGACCTAATCCAGAAGTCTACCAAAAGCCTCTCACTAACATCAAGTGGTTTGGATATCAACCATGATGGAATTCTTGGGCAATTCTTAAAGAACAGTGAAATATGGGATTTTATTATTATTATTATTATTTTGATTATTAAGAAAAAATCATTAAGATATAAACAAAATTAAAGGAGTCCTCTAAAAAGATTACATATGAAAAAAAAAGACCTTTAAAAGATCCTATAAAAACATTCAGCCTAAATATCAAATCTCAAGATACTCAGAAGCAAAGGGGATTTTCATTATATTTTCCATTTATTCATTCAAGGACTTCCATTTAAAACAGGGAAGACAAAAGAGGAAAGTCCAAGAACTTGTCATTCTACTTTTATTAAGCAACATCTACTCCCTTAGCGTCCTTGAACTTTGTCATAGCTACTGCTTCCTGTTGGCAAAGTGAGAATCAGCATGAATATTGTCAGTAAGCCTGAAAACAGGATTCATGGTTCACAACAATGTTTGCTTGACAGTTACCTCATTTATAATGATCCAGTGACAGTCAAAAGCAACCAAATTAGTCTCCACGACCTGAAATAGAGAACAAACCAGCTATCAGTCAGCTTGTTGTGAAAGCCAGAAAAAAATTAAAAGGATGCTCTCTGCAAAAGACAAAAAACAAAGCACATGCTCTCTAGGACTTTTGCTATTGAACTGAGGACAGAGAACCTTTAGCACAATTCTGCAGAAGCATTTGTGTTATTGTTTGACTTGCCAATTAAACTTGGAAAATACAGTTCATTGCCGGCATCACAGAAAAGAATATGTTTCAGCTGACTGAAAAGCAAACGAAAACATTTTTGCCTTAGTACTGTGTGTTGAGAGGAAGCAACAGAGAGGAAGGCAGAAAATGAATATCAAGTAACTCTTGTTGGATTTCTGTATTTAAGGCCTTTCCAGTGTGTACCTACCCTGGAAGCCTATGAATCAAAAAAAACCAAAACAAACCCAAACCAACAAAATCCACACCACAAATGCTGGGGTTCATACAAGTGCAAAGAACAGGAAGGAAATGGTTCTCCTGAGAAAAAGGGTTGTCACAGGGATTATGAATGATAGCCCGGCCCAGGTTTCACACACAGGAGGTGTCTCACCCTCTTCTCATGTACCTTTTCCTTGCCTTTGCTGAAAATTATTCCAGGATCTGCCTTTATGCTGAACGGAACATGTGCTTCCTAACTCATCTTTCACTCAGTCTGTTTCCTCCTTGAATCTACCAAAATGTTGTGGCAAGGCATGTTTGAATCGACTTTGCAGTGGAAGTGAAGAGGGTAAAAATACATTTCTTCTCCTTTCAATAGCTAGGAAAGAAATCACTGACAGAAGGGAGGCCAGAAACAAACAATGGAAAAGGCTGGACACCTCTAAATTCTTTTTCCAAATGAAAACGAATTAGTATTAATATGGAAATAGCTTTAAAACCAAATTAATCCCATTTTATTTGTATAGTCACTATGCTCATCTTGATTCACAATTCAAAACTACTGGATACTTAAAATTGTATTGAATCCCAGTAGAAAAAAAAAGACAAAACAGAAACAAGGCTTGGGACTTATAATGTCCTAGTGCTGGGCTGTTATTGCTTGGACTATTGCACAGCAGTCATGTTTGGCTTTTAATGATGACCAACACAAAGAGCACTTGCCAGGAATGATGGTGATTTATACTGTGCGATGTCCAAAGGAGAACAATTTAGCTGGCCACAAATCTTAAGAGCAGCAAAAGACCCCATGCTGATAACCTTCATTATTAATTCAAAAGTTGTTAGAATTGGGGTCACTGCTTGTTTAGCAGAATGATAAGCAAGACTGGAAATTCTGATCTGGAGAAACTGGGGGGAGTGGGAGAAGCAAGCAGTGTATGAACTGATTTCTTATTTGAAACTCTCAGCACTAATAAGAAATGATGGGGAATGAAACTCATAGCTGCTAATGTGCTTCTGGAAAATTTCAATATTATTAGCAGTAGGAATCAGGCTCCTCACTTTATGTGGAATTTAGACTCACTATTCAACAACAACATTATATTTTGTTGTGTTGCTTTGACATTTTCTCGCATTCTCCACAGTAGGCGTTCACACAGCACATATAAAAGAACAGGATAGAAAGTGAGTAACTGTGATGGGAGGCATCACGACAGACTGAGCCAGGATGCTTGAACTGGAGTATGGCTGTTCTAATCAGATCTCTCACATCAAAGCAGTTGGAAGACAAATACACCCAGAAATCAAAAAAGGTTGAAAGTGGACAGAACAGTAACAGAGTTCTCAAGGGAACATTTGCTCCTTACATAAAGTTTCAAAACATAGAAAGTTTATCCCAATTACAACATAAGCTGTGCCATTTAAATTTTCCATAAACCAGAACAAAACAAAGCCTTACTGAAGCAGAAACCATTCTGCTAGTCAATCTACATACAGTTCTGCTAAAAGTGAGCAGAATAAAAAAAAAATAAAGGAAAAAAAAGCAGCAGGGTTGACATATTTTCTGGTTTCTTGTCAGGTTCCTAGCAACTTTGTCCCTTCTAACTTTTGGCTCCAGGATGTCCTGCTGGGAACGTCTGCCCTGCTGTAACTACTCTGCTCAAGAGGAGGTCTCACAAGGTCCTGTGACTCCAAGGCAGCCTGCCTGAGTGACACCCTTGAGTCAAGTCTACCAGTGGTACTAAGGAAATTACAATGATAATTTTGTTCCACAAAGGGCTCCTAAGCTTTCTCTGCTCCAAAATAGCAGTCAATTGAAACTTCAGAATAAAGGAATCCACAAAATGAAAATTCACATTTTCTGTTCAATTTTTAATAACATGCTAAAAGTGGGCTAGATCACTTCTTTGTGCCTGAAGCTTCAACTGATCAGACTTTAATGTGCTGTATCTTTCATTAAAACTTTGGTTTCGGTTCATTTAGTTTCCTTATAAATATTTGGTTTGGAGTATCTGCCTTGCCCAGGCTCTCAGATTTCAATTACAAGGCCTTTTCAACAGAATATGGTTCTAATTGTCACTGGGTTTCTTAGGTACAGCTTAAGTCAGTCTCTGAAAGAGGTTGACTGTTCTCACAAGTCACTCTCGTTATTTCAAACATCTCAGGCTACCTGTGACATATTTATCACAATTTTCAAATAACAAGATGAAATGCACCCATTTTTTAGTTACAGCTGAAACTCCTCAGCAGAAAGATCATGTTTTATCCATTAAAGTTTATGCATTCATGAATCTAGTCAATATTAAAAATATTTTGAAAAAGCTTATGTCAAATTGAGATGAACTTGTAATGCACTCAAGAGACACTCAAACTAATATATTCAAAGTCTAGATGGGCTACAATAGCCCCTGATTTAAAAATTTACTTCTCCTTTCGGTCTGCCAGAAGCTGCTTTTTGGTGTTTTCCTTAGCCCATCCACCCAAAGCTTGTTCTAGTATTGATAGATGTTGTTCAAAAAGATGACTGATGATGTCCTGAGAAAGTTGCTACATTTATTTTTTCTACTTTTTTTTTTGTTTTTATTTGATGAAATATACATTTACATCTGAACCGGGACTCAACATTTGACTGGGATTTCAAGGTCATCTTTTCATCCTTGGGTCATTCAGTCTTAGCTGATGAAATCCTAGTCTTAGGGATATCACTCACAAAAGAGCTGTTCATTTCAGCAGCATTAAGATGCTGCATCTTAGTCCCCTCCCTCTTAGCATCTCCTCTGCCAGGATGGTCTTTACTGTTAATTTAGTTGCCTTTAAAGTTGGCAGTGCCCATTTTGACTATGTTTACAAGAACTGCAGGGCAATATAATGTTATTACCATTAATAACCTTCCAATATTTTCCAGTTATTGTGTTTCTTATGTTTTTCAGGGTAGAAGATTGCACTGGCACATCCACTGTTTTACAGAAAATAAATAAATGCAAACCTTTAGTTTTGATGCTTGAAGGAAAAAGTCTCTCAATCCTAAAGTTTTCTTCAAACACTAAGAGTAATCATATGCATAATCCAGTCAGAAGATTGTCTTGGTCAGCAGCTATTAAGCACTAGTTTACAAGACTATATTAAATCAGATAAAAAACACTCAAAACCATCTAAGCCAGCAGCAACACAACCTAGATCCAATTATTCATCAGTAAAGCAGTCATTCCTTGCACACAACAGGCCTTTACAGTCATGACACAGTGTTCCAGAATGACCTTGTCTATCTACTGTTTGCTATTCTGTTTACTCTAAAAAGCCATCACATTTTCACTTGAAAGGGGTGATAACAAATTAGGTTAAAGTGAAAAACAAAAAAAGAGCACGTCTGGGTCTGCTTAAAATTGATCATAGCCTAAAAGTGCATATAGCACAGCTTCAACAGAGTATATAATGCAGTTGGGAAGAAGGTTTCTATGACTAATGTTCAGAATGATAGAACACATATTTTTTTTATCTGAGTGATGATCTTTTTTCTGGTTGAAATTCATATCTGCATGCATATCGACTGAGCTGGCATGAACTTGTGTTCTGTGCCAGGGAGAAACGCATGTACAGAGAATAATGCTTGCAAAAGCATAAGGGCAGTAATGAAAAAAAAATCTGAAATCCTGTAAATTAGAAGCAATAAAACAATTTAATAGGGGCATGTAGGAAGTAGGGGTTTCAATGCAAGTTTCAGATTCATCTGCTGGTTCTGCTGACTCTGTGACAGGAAGTGGCACTGTTCTGTCCTGAAAGGTAAGGAACAGATTGGAAATTTCCATACAGGACAGAAGGCAGGTGAACCTGTTATTTATGCAGCTCACCTCTTAAGCTAAAACTGAGAAAAACTAGAGTATGTATTCATAATGAGGGCTGAACCACAAAATTCTATGCAGATATTAAATGAAGAGTTGACACTTTCCAAAACAAAGAAAAACATGCACATATTTGACAAATGCTCATTTCACACTTCCTGTAGGTGAAATCATACAAGAATGCAGTTCTGGGTTAGTAAACACACAAAGTTATAGGTCAGTGCAGAAAGCTTTCTAAAGCTAAGCATAGCCACTAGCTGGGAGAGCATTAGGAGACAGTAACATGTACACCTACCCTGCTTTTACTGCTCCTTTAGGCATTCAAGTCATCTTTGGATGTAGGACACTTTGGTCTAAGCCGAGATGGCTGCTTTTGTGCTTCTAAATATACATTACTTTCTTAATTGCAATGAATCAGATTGCCAATAGCCAAAGGAAGCAGAAATTTATTAATTCTATACCAACCATTGCGCAGTTCAGACTGCTTTTATTTACTGAAAGGGGAAATATTTGAAAAAATCTCCCAAAAAAATCATTTTGTGCTTTTGAGATGCCATTTCTTCTGTGCCATTGAGTACCTCCATTGTGCAGGAACATACATAAGCAGAACTCCAGGATGAACTGGGGAGCTGCATTTCTGTCTAATGCCCATAGCAACTGACACATTCCTGTCTCAGACAACTAAATCAATGTCAGAGCACAAGTAGAGGACAGCCTATTAACCAACACCTTCAGAGAACTCTTTTTCTGAATGCAGCATTTTTTTAATC